TTATTATTATTATTATTATCATTATCATTATTGTTATTATTATAATAAATAACAATATCAATAATAATAGTCAACAATAACAGTGATAGTAATATTATTATGAATGTTAATATCAATATTGATGCAAATGCTAATAGTGACAGGAACAGTGTTGGTAGTATTTAAAAAAAAAAAAGCGGTGATGATGACAACAATAATAATAATAATATTAATAATATTAATATTGATATTAATATTATTAATAACATTAACAATATTAATAACAATATTAATATTAATATTAATAATAATAAATAAAGATAAAAGTAGAAAATAACGATAAAAGTAAAAAATAACAAAAAACAACAATGATAATAATAAATAAGAATAGTAATAATAATTATTATTATCATTAACTATGGATTTTTGTTCTGCTAGATTGTCAGCGCATGAATGGCAAAGAACAAAAATTGGGCGAAAAAATCTATTAGTTTAGAATTTCCTTGTCAAATCAATTTTTCTACTTTTGAAACCAAATGTAAGGCACTAATGTTTATGATTTCAATTAATCTTCACTTTATGCAGTTTCTTTGTTTGTTTATGTTGTTTTTATTTATTTTTCTTTTTAAATTGGAAAAGGCTTTCTTTGCATATTTATCGTATATATTTCAATTATTGGAAGTTTGGTATGCGATTGGTGGCTGTTGCATGTCTTTGGTCTATTTGATTTGGTTAAAGCAGAAAGAAGTTGGATCTAGTAGACATTGGGAAATGGAAGGGGGGAGAGAGTCGTTTTATTGTATTTTAAATCATTGCAGTTAAATTATAAAAGTGTAGATTTGTGAGTCACTTTTGGAGTTTTTCTTTCTGTGGTGTTAAATTGCAGCTTCAATGATAGAACTTGAGCTTTTTTATCTTTCTAATGAATGCAAAAAAAATTATTGTCAACAATGGGGAAGAGTGGTGCAGTTAATTTCTTTTTTTTCTTCAAATGTCCTATAAGCATGTGAGGGTTTGGTATTGAACGTTGGTAAGTTTGTGGCAAAGTCAGGAGGAGGATTTTCTTAGGAAGTAGAGTGGTTACTGTCAATATGCGGTTGAATGATTTGAAAAAAGGAAATTGTAAAGATTTTCTGCTGGAATAAATCGATTAGAGTGTGGGGACTGTCAAATTGCTTAGTAATAAGTTTTCTTATCTTGAGTAGGGTAACTTTGATCTGCATTTTCTGCGTTTCTTCATTGTACTTATGTGCTTATTTAAGGATAATTTGAGGTGTGAATGAAGCTGACCTTTAGATATACATAAACCTCAAGTACCGCTGCTTGCCGTTTGTACTCGCCTCTGTTTGAATCGGGGTTGTTTTTTGTAGATTGTGAGCTAAATGGAAGGTTTTCTTTGGTTTTGGTTTTGAGGCACAGGGCTGCGAATAGAACTGTGACGAACAATGATGTTTACTAAAAAAAGTTGAGCTCATTTTAATTGCTAATTGACATTTTAGGGGAAAGAGGCAGATTTTTAGCGCTATATTTATTAATTTATGTTCGAATATAAAAATCTTTGTTGTTGGCATTGTGTCTAAGCTTTTTTTGTTGAATTTGTTATGCGGAAAACATTTATTCTCCTCAGAATCATTAGTTAACGGTGGAAATTGAGATGTGGGAGTCTGATAGGAATAAGAATGAAATAATGTGCGGTAAATACGTTTAATCGGTGCTGGTTTTCTAGTTTTTTTGTTTATAATTTTCTCCTTTTTGTTAGCAGCAATAGGAGGATGGGGAGAAGAATCAAAGTTGGAATAACACTCTTGAAATACTGGTGAATAATTGCTTTAAACAAAGAAAATTTTTTCAACTTTTTTCTTTGCAATTTTTTCATTATCTTATCAATATAGTGTCGCCAAAACAGTAGAAAAAAAAGTCCTTTCTTGAACCGCTGAAAGAGTAGAAAAAAATTGAAGAGTTGGTATGAAGTTTATAACTTGTTTAAATTTTTTCTGGACGATGCCAGATTTTTGAAAACCAACGCAACTTGATGTTTGGATATATGTGTGATGGTGAGGTAAGAAGACTTGGATTGCTGGACGCTGCTGGTTTGTTGGGCTCAGTCTGAGTTAGCGGAATCCGGTTGTTAGCATCTGTTCTTGACTTCTGACTTTTGTTGCTGCAGCAGCATTCGAATAGTATTTGTCTCGGCATTGATAAAGCTTAGGAAATTTTACTTTTTTAAGCTTCTAAAAATCCTGATTTTTCAGGTTGGAAAAATGTGAGAAATAAAGAAACAACTTTATTTTACTATTTGATCCATGTGTTTTTGAAGTGTCAGTTTAGCTGAGTGAGTCGCTTTAAATTGATGAAACAGATATATTTTGTTTGGGCCAGGAATTTCTTATTGCCTCACTAAAAGAAACATTTCAGTTTGATAGTGTAAAAGTTATATAAACGTTACCAGGAATGAAACTTTAAGCTCGATTGAAAATATTTCTTTTTTGACGAAGTTTAAGTGATTTTTAACGCAGTTTCTTTCTGGAAAAATGCTTTTGAAGATGAGTAAAGGAGAAAACAATGGACGAACAGAACTTTTGTTCTTTTTTTTTTTTTATTTTTATAAAAAGTGATGTTCTTCACATATCTTGATACACATAATGAGGGGGGCATCTTTGAAGTGGATGAAAGGAAGAGAGCGGAAGACAGAGAAATCTAACAAAGTTACAACTCGGACTGACTGGTTATTTATTTTTGATGTAAGAATACTGGTAATCGAAATTCAGATGCGGAAATGAGGGTGTTTGAGAAGAAACAAATCTTGTTCATCATTTTTATCCTTGAGCATAGGATTTTTTCAAAACGAGCAAAATGTGGTCAGGAGCATTTGTTCTGTCTTAAAAACCAAGCTCTAATCCTCATTTTTCAGCTCTGCCTAGGAATAGCTCGTGGATGGACTGCACCATTGGTCTTGATCAATAATATTTCCTTGTCATTAATAATCTCTTATCTTTTCTACTTTAAGCTTCAACTTATTCTTATGGTTCTATTTCGCTTGCTCAAGCTTGAATTTTTTTAACAGTCTCTTTTCATTTGTTGATTTGGCAGATGTGCTACGGACTGCTTATTCGTCATAAATTTTATAAAGGAAATTGAAAGAAAAAAAAATTTTTTTGCTTTCGTCATTTTAAGACATTCCATCTGCTTTTATTTTTTTTGATTTTTGCATGGCCGTAACTGTGATGAGAAAGTATAGTTTAAGACTTTTGAAAAAAATGCGATTAGTTCTCAGGAACTTAGAAAACTAGGAAACTTCGCTGGTTTGGAAGCGTGTCGTTAATATCATGCTGTTAACTAGTTTTGTCTGTTAAAGTAGTTTGATCCTGCTGCGCCGATATGATAAGCTCAAATTGGACATAGTGTTATGCATAGAGTTTTGGGCATAGCTAGTTGGTGTTGAATATGGTCACATACCTTAACTTGATTGGTGCATTGAAGGGGAAAAGCCTGGAGAGTTTGCGCGAAATTTGTTGAACTAGAAAGTTGTTGTATGTATCCAAAAAGTTAGCCAAATGCGAGCATTGTCACTGAAAGATCGTTCTGCATCTTGGGGGAATGACGGTCAAACTTATAATTTAGCCAGGGGATTACGTGCCGTTTATTGTGGCAGTGCTTTTTTACCTGCATTTGTTATCGACGGATTTCACGGTAGGTGTTAGTGGACAGAAAGCACAAAAGACACTTCTTTATTTATTCTTGCTGAACGTTTCTAAATTGCATATACGTATCTAAACATTATCTTTATTTTAGCTGTGCTCGATGAGGCTGGTTTCGACTTCGTAAGCAAATGCTTATCCGCTCTCGAAGAGCGAGGTTTATACATATGCTTTTTTTTTTTTTTCTAAAAGGAGGTTGCTGTTCTCAGTAACAAAAAGTTTATCGATTGCTTCATACGTACTTATCTATGCAATTTTGCTTCAAAACTGTTTGTAAAGTTTGAAATTTTCTTGAAAACATTTTATGTGAGCTCAATACATTTTGCTCATAAAATTCTTTATTTTATTCACAACGGATATAAAATCTCTGCTAAAAATAATAATCATTGTCATTATTTGCTTTGGTTTACTGTTTGTATATTTTAGTTGCAAAATTTTAGGCATACGAGAACAAGGCTTGTACAGGAACTGTGGAGTTACATCAAAGGTTCAGAAGCTTATGCAGATTGGCTTGGACAAGCGACGGCCAGCGGATAAGCCGTTGTTTACAGATGATGGAGAGTGGGAAATTAAGACTATATCTAGTGCTGTAAAAACATTTCTAAGGCTAGTTTTCTACTATGCTCTAAAATTCTGTCGCGTATATATATATATATATATATATATATATATATAT